ACCGCATGAGGTCACTGGCCGTGCCCCCTGCGAGCTTCTGCTGGGCCGGATGGTCAAGACCCCCTTGGACGTCTTGCATCCAGACCTCCGGTCCACGGCGCTCCTGAAGCAGCTGAAGCAGAAGCTGGCTGCTGACCGAGGGTGCCGTCCCGGGCCTTTGCCGGAGCCGGGAGCGTCGGTGTACGCCAGGAACTTCCGTCCTGGCCCACCCTGGTCTGCCGGACATGTGGTTTCACCAGCGAGCGCCTCATCGCTGCTCGTCCGCATGCCCGACGGGACCACCTGGCACCGGCACGCCGACCATGTCAGGCCTCGCCTCGGGACCTGGCATCCAACCTCGGCCGTCGCTTCGGAGGACCAGCCTGCAGGGGGCCCAACAACAGCACCAGTCGTGGCCGGCGGAGCGCCATCCACCCCGGAGGCGACAAGCGTCGCCACTCCTGTGGCACCAGTTGGACCAGTGCCACTCCCAAATCCGGTCCCTGCAGCTCCACCGGGTGGAGCGCGACCGGTTCAGGCAGCGCCCGGCGTTGCCACACCTGGCCCGTCGACACCTGTACCCAGGCGGAGTGCACGACAGCGGAGGCCACCTGACCGCTACTCGCCGGGGTGACCTTCATCGTCGACAGGCCGGGACTTTGCATGAGCAGACGCCGAGTTGGTGTCGGCCGTGTGTGTTTTTTTCATGTATTTTGTTTTTAGGAAAAACAAACTGGGGGGGAGGAGTGTAACAAGTTAGTGGCGCCCCCCTCCAGTCCGCCCGTCTGCGGCCGCCTGGCTCGGCGGGCAACATTGTTCACGACACCAATAAACACCGTTGAGCACACGCTGCTCCGGTCAGTCATCGTCCACCCTCAACCAGGCTGCGTGTCGTCTCTCCTCGGCGGGTGCTTCGGCCCCCTTCGTCCACGTTCTAGAAAGATCGTGACAATATTGTCACGGATCCTTGTTCCAGTCCTATCTTCTATCAATATTCACTATACTGCAATACTGCAGGTTATGCTCGGCTGTCATTGTATGTTCTGGTAGAGGTGCTGGGTACTTTACCCATAGCCCTTCACTCTGTGTGAACCCGGCGGCTCCTCAGCCGAGTTGCCCGATAATGAGACATGGGTGGCTGACTATCCTCCGCCTTATACCCCCGGCGAGCCGTAAGCAAAGTCCTAACCCGAGCCTGGCAAAACAACCGCAAGACGAGCCAGTACCACAAGGAGTAACCTCGGAAATACACCACGAAGCACCTGAAATCCGAGCCAATTGCTGCTACCAGGAAAAACCACCGGAATTCGGTCTCCTGCCAGAAACTCCGAAGCTGACTAAGCCAACAATGACAACCTTGTAGCAGCAAACCGCGTCCCCTCCCACCATTGTTTGCATGCCCGTCGCAAATCACACTCCGACGCTTTTTCACGCAAGCTGTATGAAGACGTCGAGGACTGGATTGAACAATATGACAGTGTCGCCCGCCACATTGGGTGGACAGACAACCAGCTCCTGCAGAACCTATACTTCTCGTGGAAGAAACTGCCGGCGCTGGTCTGAGAACCATGGATCCTTCTTAGCGTCATGGGAAGTTTGCAAGATCGAGCTGAAGCGCGCATTCGTCAGCCAACATCAAAGAGAGAGAGCCACATTCTTGATTCTGTCCAGGACACTGCCCCAACGAGAGCGCCACCGCACTCGTGGAGGGTGTTTTGGGCTTGATCGAGCGCCCACGCCCACGCCGACCTTGATGCTACAGAAGACAAGAACCTAAGAATCCCATGCCCCTCATGTAAGGGACAACACCTTCGGCAGCCTTGTCCGTAACCCCCCAACAACAGTCGAAGTGTTCATATCACCGAGGCTTCCAACATTGAATGTGCACTGCATGCCCGAGCCTGTCACTATGAACAACTTCTCGGCGTCTCGACACTCGAGTTGTCCAGCTGCTACTTCGACGCCAGCCCCCCAGGCATCCACGACATCATCCACGACGTTGTCTGGGAAGAGATCAGGAAGCTATTTCCTGCCATCAGTTGCCCGGCTTTTATTTTGATTGCCGAGATTGTTTCGGAACAAGTCTGACAGGTATTTCAACCGAGACTTCTGCGAGCGAAGCGGCATTTGACAAACCAAGGGCAACTTACCCTACAATGGCACAACGACCGCCACCGGCTGCCCCTTGGTATTCAATGCAAATTCAGTGAGACACTCCAATGCCGAAGCATTCCCGACATCGTGTGTAGGTCTGTGCTCAACAAAGTATACCGAGGAAAACGTAGGTGATGCGAATGGCCGACCGAAAACCACTCTGCTACCACTGCATGAAGCCGACCATGTCTACCAAAGCTGCCCGTACCAATGAATTGGTCTGCGAGGGTTCGTGCCGAACGACCCTCAATCATGTCTCGAGGAGCGACCACGGGAGATTAAGGATTACCTTCGGCGACCTTTGTCCCTGATGCCGAAGGTGCTGAATCGAAGATGCTGAATGCCTGATTACCCCGAAGCTCCTGACATCCATGACCTCAATGAGATGTAAGCACGACAAAGAAGGTGAGCGGCAATGCAGTGAAAGGGGATTTTTGGTGTCCGTTGTCGTCCAAGGACAATACCTAAAAATTTGCTGACACCAATTATCTGTGTCCACTCCACGAAGCACACAATTTCCAACTTTGAGGGAGAATGCCCCTGAGTGACTTGAAGGAATAGAATGGTTGGTTGCTCTCAAAAGTGAACTGCAAGCATCACCAGACTTGGATAGCAAACAAACATTGTTGCCAGCTATCAAGTCAATGGTACAGCAAAAGGCACAGCCACGTAAGCAATAAATGCCCGAGCTTGCTGCTTTGAGGCAGAAAACTACCAGGAAAATTTTCGGATTAGAAGCCAGCCCTGCAGCTTCAGTGCATCAGACGTCAGTGGCCGCACATGACGTATGATTACAAGACAGCATCAGTCGGTCAAAGTTGCCACTTGACCAAACTGAACACTGACGTGCCAGGAGCGTCATCCGACAACAAGGTCCACAGGTACTACGACTGAACGCCTGACACGAGACTGTCACAGAAAGAACTTGTTATGGAACCATTTACTAAGAATCAATAATTATGTAATCAAGTGGAAATAAACATATTTGATACACTAACCAGATAAACATATTTCCGCTTGCCTTCACGCCTTGAGAGTCTATACACCGAGAATTGTGTTCACTGCACGCTCTGGACCTTACGAGGACACTCGCATCTCTGACCCTTCAATATTAATGAATGGGACATACCAGACTGGCAGACGTCTTGTATAGGGTTGCACTCGTTCAACCTTTCCTGAACATGTGGTGCGTCCGAAAACCAACTCCAGTGATGTGGAAATGTTATTTATTAATTTATTCCCTCCAGGGTCCTTCGTTGGCAATGCAGAGGGGATACGTAAAACTACACACATGATAATAACATTAAAGCACACTGCTGTAACTTGTTAATTGGAAAAACAAACACACCTCTAAGCCTATAGTTTAATAGTATGTAGTCTGTGTTGATGCATTGGTATATAGCATGTCACTTCCTATATGTATGACACAATAGACCCTTTGCAGAAACCCATCAAGCAACACAACTGTCACCATTTTTTCGGCGTAAAGCACACGAATGGGCCCCAGTTCACGTCAAACGCTAATGCAGCATTCGAGTCCAATAGGTGCTGAGCCGAATTCACAGGGATGGCGGACATAACATTCTTGTCGAACAAATGCCCAAAGTATGAAAGCCTGGGGTAATTAGAGTAGTAGCTACTGTAATTTGTTTCAGCAGAATTTGGCAGATGGCAAAGGCTTCAGTCTCGGTGAGTCAATGCACACGTTGGAGAGAGGCACATGACAACATGTCATCAGAGTGCTCGTCTGCACAGATTTGTCACACACCTTCGCTCCGTCTCTCTGATTGGCTCGAGGGGGCTGTGGCGGTTGGCCTTTTCCAAGTTACGGTGATACGAAGTATAGGCAGCCCACACTTTTGAAAAGAGTCTATTGAAAAGACCGAAAGGAATGGTAGTCAACATTTTTCAACAACACTGCTCTCCCGGCAAGAGTGAACACAAATATGAATCATATTATCCAGGTAATTAGAACAATTATATAATTGACCGACTAATACAATGCACTCTTTATGGAAAAGAGTATTGCTGCAATAAATCCTACGAAAGAGAAAAAGTGTGCAGTTAATCTATGCATGCACCAAAACAGCTGTTCTTTCAGCAAGTCGAATAGCTTTGAAGCAGGTGCCTGCAACGATTTATTCTTCCCCACACTCAGGAAAACGTCATCCTCGTAGCTGAAGATAAGTGCACTTCGCACTCACACACAAAAAAAGGAAGAAAAGCGATCGAATGTAAATCGTGGATTAGCACAAAAGGTAAAAATCGCAGGAGCTTCCTTGCTAAAAGTTGCTATGGTTGTTCGGTGACGGAGGGCTGAAACAACTTCCCCTAGGCCCTAACGCGACGCATACATTTCGTGTAGGTTCTCAGATATTTCAACGTTCAAACAAAACTAAGAGAATGCGAAAATTTTATGTTAAAAGCACTGAAAAGTTCTATCGATCCTCGAACACATCCCGGAATCCGAGCACCGGTACGGCGATGCAGAGCTGATGCTGTCTCACAGGCGTTAATATCCAGATGATCCAGAGCGATCTTGCGTAAAAACGGTATAAAGTCTCGTTCCTTCATATTTTCACAATATACCTGCGTCAGCCAGCACGAAGAAGCCCGAAGTCGTCGGAAAGCAGCTGCACATCACGGCTACCGCGCACCGAACAAACTCGCATCCGCCAGCTATGGGCGCAGCCATCTTACCTGTGACGTCACGGCTCTTGGGAGGTCACGTGACGAGTGGTCACATTTGCGTACAACATGGCGGCAACCGGGGGGGTGCCACTTCCGAACTTCCGGTTTATCGCTCTAAGCCCCTCTACCTCGTTGCCGCTCTCTTTTGGTGTCGTCTACGCGTGATTTCGGCAAGGGTGCTCGGCGTTTCGCCGTTTCGCAAGATTTCTCCGCCCTTTGTTGACTGTTTTGATTATTTTTGGTGTTCCGTCGTCGCCTTTAGTTTTTGCTGTTTTTCCGTCCCCTTCGCCGTGACAGGCGTGCGGCAATGCCAGCCGTGTGTGCGGCCGTAGGTTGTTTCAACTCTTCCAGGTGAGACAGCCCGTTTCACGTTCACGCTTTTCCTTCCGACCCCCGGATTGCGAATTTATGGGTCTCCGCCATACAGAGAGACAATTTCAAGCCCAGCAAGTGGAGCGTGCTCTGTTCGGCGCATTTTACGGCCGATGCATACGAGGACAAAGTACGGCTTATGAAGAATATGGGCATGGACTACAAGCCACGACTGAAACAAGACGCTGTGCCAACCATTTTCTCACACAAGAGGAGACAACCTCAGCGCACACCGGGTGCATTTGCGAAGAGAAGGCGGATGGAGGTAAGCCGCATTGGATCAGACTTCTAGAACCGTAATTTTTGCGGGTTATGCTTGCTCTCGAACAGTGCTCGCTGGCCAGACTCGCAACTTCGCTCGCGTTGCCGTTGCATAACAGTCCCAAGCGCACATTCAAGCACCAGTAGCACCGGCAGCTGTTGAGACGTCATGCCCGCGTCTCGGCAGACGGGTTTCAGAGTAAACTTTGAGCGTAGGAAACGCCCCGAGCGCTAAGTGCACTGAATGAGACGGATATTTTTGTCGGAGGGCACTTGAATGCTCGGTAAGCGCGCCGTCGATCGGCTCTTTTAACACAGTCTCGAAATAACAGATAGAGATGCGAGTTCTAAAACAGCAATTTGCACGACATTTGTTCAATGCTGTGAACGAGAAATGCTGAAGCGGGTAAAAATTACACCACAAACAATGCAGCAAACCTTTGCTAGATTTCTGAGGCAATTATCTGTCCAATCTTCTCTTTAATTATAAGCTTTAGAGCATCTGCATACGTTGATTTTCGATTTGTTGAGGGCAGCGGGTTCGTCGGTTGGCAAAGTATTATTATTAATCAGACCTTGCGTTCATGTTGAGTTATTCCCAGTCTCAGACTCTCTGTACTTCGACATAAATGTTGCCAAACTGCCCATGATCAGATTCACATTTGTTTTTCAGATTGTTTCAGAGCTTCTCTCGTCACCGGCTGGACCCTCCACAAGCTGCTCTGTTGCTCTACGAATACAGGCAGAGCCGTTGACTGAGGCCATAATCTGCACCGAGCCAGTGGCTGTGGGGGCAGCGGAGGGCGATTGTCCAGATGCAAGTGCTCCCCTGGACTTCAGTGTTCCCCGTGTGAACAGCGACACCTCGAAGCCCTCTAAGCGGGATAAAAGTGTGCAGGTGTTGGTGAGGCCAAGGACAAAGTCTGCACGCACTCAAGCAAGGGCTCCTGCACGATCCATTGGTGTGAGGGTGATGCAGTGAACGTGCATTTCAGCAAAATATGTACAGATTATGTGTATAGACATTCTGTAAATATTCAGTGCTCCAACTATCTTCTCAATTTGTTGTTATAGTAAACTGATTCGTCGTGCCAGATGGTTTACCCACGAATAGAAGATGCGGCTAATTTTGTTTGACATTTCGGCGATTGCAGAACGCAAAGGCGGCAGAACGGTAACAGAAGAGGGTACATACCAGCTTTGTTATGTGTTCTTTCTGCTTTCTTTGTGTTCTGAAGCCAAAATTGTAAGAAGGGAAGTGATTGTGTTGCTTCCAGAAGCGTACGACTATGCCTGACCATACGTCAGAAGACTCCTAAAAGCTGTCACGTCATGCGGAACAATGTGGTATCGTTGAGTATTAATTTAACCATAAAAAAACACAATATTTGCAAGTTCTGCCGCGGCATAAATTGGGTGGCATGAGATAATGGTTTCAGTTCATGACATATCTGAAACCAAAAGTTAATCAGCCAGAGTAGATGCATTTCTTCATTTGTAAGAAGTTAGATTTTTTAACTTCATCTTTTGTGCATAATCTATATGTTCTACTTGTTTACTTTCCAGGGGCGCAGACATTCTTCCCATGCACCGATGCAGCTTGCCAGACAAGCCAATGGAGACCGAAAGAAGCTGATCCAGGGGAGAGCTGTGACGAGTTGGGCGAACCAGACAGGGAAGATCCTGGAGCGAAGGATGACAAGGACTACATCCCCTCAGAGGAGTATCGAGAAAGGTATGCATAGTGAGCACAAATGGAAACCATATAGTGGTAACCCAAATTAAGACTTCCCTCTTGCTACTTTAAACACATTTTTCCTTGAAGGACTTAACTTTCTGTTTGGGCCCACTTCCTAAGATGAGTTTGGGGTCCCTTGGTTCATATGCTTTCATTCCTTCTTGATGCAGCTTCGCAGAGCCACGCCCTGCTCCCGATAACAATCGGGTGTTCTTGGTAGCAGAGGTCCAATTTCGGCAGCTGTTCAAGGTGTGCCCGAAGTGCTATGCCAGCTGTCAAGTCTCCATCGAGTGTGAGGGAACTGTGGTTGAAGTCATTTCCAAGTGCCCGGTAGACCACCACAGCTACTGGGTCAACCGGATGGGGTCAACCAGCAGCCTCTCCTCAACTTGCTGCTGTGTGCAGGGATCCTGTTTGCAGGGTGCAACCCCACAGCCTCTCTCAGAACACTGTCAAGTATTGGCGTGCAAGTGGTCTGCGAGAAGACATTCTTCAACTTGCAGCGAGATCACCTCCAGCCAGCTATTGACACAGTGAGAATTGACATAATTCTGCTCTGTAATGTTGTTAGCAAAAAACACTAACACCCCAGTTACTGCTGAGTTTCAAGTTTTAAATTCAACAAATGCTGCAAAACGCACACATAAGCTATTGCTATTTATTTTGCAGGCGTGGAGCCAAGAACAAGCAGCACTGTTGGACCAGGCAAAGAACCGTCCCCTAAAGCTGGCCGGAGATGGTCGGGCAGACTCGCCAGGATTTAGTGCCAAATATGGCTTACTCTGTGCTCGACCTGGACACAAACAAGATTGTTCACTTCGAGCTTGTGCAGGTATGAATGTCACATTCTGTACACCTTTCAACATTCATTGCAATAATAAGAAAATTTTACCTCATTTGATTATTTGTATTTGAAATGACAATACAAGAGGAACAGATTGTTCAGAGGGTTTGTCTCGTCAAGTCTAATGAGCCAGGCGTTTTTAGTGTAGGTTGCTATGCATGTTGGCAGACAAAGCAAGCAAAATCTCGTAATAACGTTGTCCCACTAAAGCAACAAACACCGATTTTGACTCGGCGACATCACAAAGTTCCGTGTCGCTGATCCTGTCCCACTGTAACGGCCAACACCCCCACAAACGCCGACAAACATTGACAAATATAGACACCTGGCTGCAGCATTGCTTTTTATTATTGCAGTTATGTAACTACGCCACAGCTACATGCTTTTTTACGCTGAAATAAAATGAAAAGACGAGTCATAATTTGGGTTCTCCTTCTGAATGTCTTCATCAGAAAGCGTAATTAGCAAATATGTGCAAGAAGCATCCGAGATTCTAACACTTCTGAACCATGATCCATGTTACATGTGACATTTTTTTTTGTGGTGCTTTTAATGTGCAGTCTAATGAAGTTGGTGGGAGCGGTCGTATGGAGCTGGCAGGCCTAAAGAGGAGCTTCAGCTTTCTGGAATTCCAGGGCCTGGTTGTTGATCTTTTAGTCACGGACCGTCACGTCCAGGGCAAAGCTTTCGTGAAGAAGGAAAAGCCAAATGTCCGCCACGACTTTGACGTCTGGCACGTTGCAAAAGGTACTGTTTTTCTCTGCTAACATTTTGTCTTTCCACCCAAGGATGTCCTCCTCTTGTAAGAATGTAGGAGCTAATGACACATCAGAAAGTTCAATTAAAATTATTGCAGTGTGCATTCTAATTGAGGTAATTTCAAACTAAGGCCAACCTAAGCATGGAAGAAGTAAAAAGCTGTAGAAACCTCTCGGGGACTACATGTGGCCAGTGGGGCTGAGTTGGCATGTACAAGATATCAGAGCATACATAAAATTCTCTGGGGCAAACATCAAAATGCAAAGTTTATTGTAATTCTATTTTTAGGATTGTAGTTGATGTTCATGCAGCACTTAGTGGTTATGTCATGTGGTCCACTGCCCCTCTGGAAGTCTGGTTAAATTGCAGAGCAATTTGATGTCTGCCAGAAGAGAAAACAGTTTACTTGTTTCATCCAACTTAAAGGGAAGCTACGGAGGTTCTTGAAAAAAATGAGTTAGAACTGAATCCTAGCGTATTTTTACGCCGTGAACCTGAACACCCAAACCATTTACTGCGCAAGTATTGTTAAACGCGAGAAAACGTGAAAGACAGTCGCTGTACGTGACGTCATTGACGGACTTTTTGGCTGCCCAAGGCTAGGGAGGCGGGGCTTCAGTTCTATTTGGAGATTGCTCTTATGGCTCTGCGGCACGTCACATTGAAACATAATTGTGATATCTATTATTCTAAAGGCCAAATGAACGCAATTCAAGGGTTTTTACTCAAATGCAGAAGTGCCCCATCATCCGTTTAATAAGAAGCTTCTAGGACACAGACTCCTTCTTGCCTTTCTTTTTTTTATTTTATTCATTTTCACCGGGTATCAAGAAGCAGCTGCTTGCGGCCGTTAGATCCCCGTCTGTGCTGAGCTTGCGCTCTGGAGCAGGCCAATACAAAACCACCTATACTGGGTGGCAGCTTCCAGCGAAGGGAGTTCGGATCTGATTGTCCCCAAGTGGCTCTCCGTGCTGAACCATGTGCGAGACGTTCACTCTCACCGTGATCCCCGGTTTGCCTCATGTGCCCACGGCGAGCTTGAGCCCAGGGATTGGCTCTCTGATGGTATGTATGGAGCTTAGACATTTGTTGATCTTTTCGACTCATATAGCATATCACACAAGCTACGTGCATTTTCCCCGACTGTGGCATTCTCCTTTAGACTCGGCAGCTTTCAAAAAACTGGAAAACATTGTGACGAAGAAGTGCCTGCTTGCTGACCTTCCAAAGCTCTCAACACGCTTCCAGACCTACACTGTGGAGGCGTTTCACAGCCTGATCATCCACTTCTGTCCGAAGTCCTGTCACTACTCGTACAAGGGGATGAAAGCGAGGTAACTAGCAATGCACGAAATGTTTTTTTGGTATGTAAATAGCTCCTAATAGTTTAATTCTTACATAAGGCAATTGGAAGAAATGCAAATATTCAATAAAAGTTATACCTTGTTTTTTTATGTGGCTGAAATCAGCACAATCTCGGTTGCATGGAAGCATACTCAGCACAGGGAACCTGCAGCTATCTACAAAATGCCTTTACAGATCTCATCTGCATCCTACTCATTTGGCAACAAGCAGGGTGCTAATGCAAGAGCACTTTGATACTAATTGTGTGAAAATCGTTTCGCAATTACAGAACCAAGCGTGCGATTCTCCGTTACAACGAGAACGGCAACAGGCATTATGCATTCACGGAGGAGGGCGAGGAGCGTTTCAGGGTCAAGTACCCGAAGGCCAATGGAGGAGAAGGAGTGGCAGTGCAAGAAAGGAAGGAGCCAACTCATGGTGTGCATTGAATATCATTCTTGTTTATTTAGCTTACCTGCATCCTTCAAATTTGCATGTTAGAAGTGGAAAATGAAAGTGACCACCGTATTTACTCGAGTAATAGCCGCACTATTTATGAACAAGGCCCTTGCGTCTGCTTTCCCACAAAATACTTATACACCCAATAATTGCGTTGCGCATAAATTACATAGCGAATAACTAGTTCGAGAACATGATTCTCCACACAGATGGTATTTTTGCACGAAGATGTTATCTCTATCCTGTAAACCGCTAGAATCATGCTGTCGATTGCTGTGACTGGCGATTCACGAGCTCCGTGGAAAAGCGAAGCCTCAGGTTTTCTTCATAAACAGTGCGGCTATTACTCGAGTAAATACGGTACTTGTACAGAATAGTCTGGCCATATATCGAAATTTGTCATGGTCATCAATACTGGTGCGACGACGGTTCATATGAGAACAATCTTTGCGACACACTTTTCAAGGGAACAAAAACACGCAAGTTTTACGAAACCCAACGATTTTTTTTTTCCATTTTGTCAGACTACGTGAAGAGGCTTCTGGACGTGCTGCGAGAAGGGGCCCAGAGGAAGACTCGAGGCGTCAGTCTCATCACACCCTCCGTGGTTCCGCCGCCGCTCTGCAGCTCTGCAAAGAAAGTTTCCAAGGCAGAACTGATCCAAAGGCACAAGACGAGGTTCAACAAATAAGGTCCGTATGATTTGTGGCGAGGTTCTACAATTAGCAAATATTGTTTGGGTTATCCATCCTAATTTCTGTATTCCCATTGCAGGCCCCTTTTGCAGTTGAGCTGCTTAGCACCTTCCTTGGAGTAAAGTTGTTGCTCCTCCCGGTGGTGTGGGACGCAGGTTCTGCTCCGATGACCTGGAGCGTGGTGGCACGAACGTCGCTGAGTGACGGGTCGACTTGCTGCTTGTCTTGGGCTATGCACATTTTTTTTACACCCGTCCAAGTTACAACTCTCTACTTGTGAGACCATCCTTCCTTGGCTCAAGTCTCCTGAGATCTCCCCCGTTCCCTTCTTCGAAATCCAACCTTTTCCCTCGCTCACAGACCACACAACCAATCAGTTCAAATGTGACCGGGACTGGACCACTTGCAGAAAAGACCTTCAATTACCACTTCAACGGACTGCATACCCCAAGCCCCCAAAAATTTGCACCCGTCCCCTACTCCGACGCGACAGAGCTGCCGGACCAGAGTCGTCATAGTGTTCCCTGTGCTAGGCCAGAAACGGGAAAGAAAACCTTGGGGTGACACTTTGCTCTCCTTAACAAGGCACGTCAATCCCTGGGGCACTCCCCATGTTGCCCCCTGCCCCCTAAGGTCACACCGCCGCCGCTGCTTATGCATGCTTCTTTCTCGGCATGTAAACCGGAGTAGAGACTTTCTATCTGGGCACTAGCATTTTGCCATCTGTGCACAAAATGCTGCAAACCCTTCCGCTGTGAGCTTGTGTAGATTCATTACGGCATACCAGTATGCCTCATTCAGAGCATGCGTCCTCGCCTCCTCGCACTGACTGTGCACATGTGGAATTTTTGGTAACCAAAAGCCTTTTTTTATCTAAACACCAAAGTAAATTGTGAACATGTGTGCATGCCTTGATTCTCTTAGTACATATGCCAAAATCCAACATAGGCTCCATCCTCAGACGGGAACTTGGTGCGAATCCTGTAAACACCTCAGCTCGGCAGAATTCTAATTTCCTTCTTGAGGCGTTTCCACGTCAGCAGCACAAACTGCCGGTACGCAGTGTATCTCATCTACCTGAAAGGATGCACAAATGGTAGATTGAGTAAATTACATTGTTGTACACTGTTTATTATAAAACATGCTTTTTCGCATTGTGATCAGACACATCATATTGAGGAACACACTTTCAGCACCGAAGTTGGCAATTTGTAAGAACACAGTATTGTGATACAAGCCTGCCTGTCGTTAGAAGTGTGTCTACTCTGCACATTGGTCTGATTGCTTACCTGTCTTTTGGATACCAGGGTCTGAATCCGTCATGCTTTCTGCTAGCTAGAGCAATCTCCAGGGCCGGTTTGCTCATCTTGCGGCTGCGGACGCGGCCGCGGCCAGGAGGAATTTTTACGTCACGTGACCAGCTCCATGGGGACAAGGAAGTACCTAGCGTCCCTGCCTAATGGCGGAGAGATCCGCGTCGCTTCAAGCACAAAAGCCTAATTTCGCTCGCAGAAACTGATTGGAGGGACTTTCAACTGGAATCTAATTGACCGCCCCTTTATACTGTAGGAGCGGCAGGTAAAGTTACGGCCAGGGAGGGCAAATAGGAGCCAAAATAAAAAAAAAACCAGACGAGATAAAAGCGGTAGCGGTATTTTTATATACCTCCGCCGGCGTCGCGTCACCGCCTTCTGTTGTGGTCGAGAGGTTAAAGTGCCGGTACTTGTCGTCGCGGCGTGAAAGTTCCAGGTTCAAATCGCGCTTCGGACTTCTTTTTTTTTGTATTTTGCGGAATTGGAAATGGAATTAATTATAATTAATTCCATTTCTTGATCCAAAGTCCTTTTAGGTGTTTGCATTAGAGAGAGGGTTTGCGATGGTCGATGCCTGATTCATTTTTGCATTTGGTCGTGATCGTCTGCTAGTCTAACTAAAATTCAACAAGTAATGTGTTAATATTACAAAACGATTGCCACAACAAAATGTAAAGAGTATAAATATACTTTTTATCTCATTCCATGCAAGGAAAAGTATGATCTCTTTTAGTTCAGTTTTACTACTTTCTCAGACGTTTGACCTGCTGCCTTGCCTGTAGCATTTCGCTCAATCAATGTAACCACAGCTGCTAGTCTTTTTTTTTTTTTGCTTGTTTTATTTTATTTTTTTTAATTGCTATAACTGCAGTTTTTATTAGTCCTAAATAGGCGTCTCTTGTTATTG